CAAGTTCAAAGGTGTCGTCTACATAACGCCACCAAACTTTTGGTGAGTTAATGGTGCTCGTTAACGCCCTGTTCTCGAAGTCTTCACTGTACAAGTTCGCCAGTACAGGAGATATTGGCGATCCCATGGCGAGACCTTGTTCCTGACTGTAAAGCTTCGACTGAAAAGCGAAGTAAGACATGTTGACACACTGTCATACACTTGATCATCTGATTCACCGTTAGTTCCGTCCGACTACTCAGAGTGACATCTTCATTTAGACAACGTCTTGCTAATCCTACCGCGTCATCTTTGGGTACGTTTATGAAAAAATGATATGACATCGAAGTTGACCACCAATTCATCTGACTCGATTTTGAGACCTTCTATCTTTGCGCGAACTCATAAGAGCTTTTCACGAATGTACTCGTTCGCCCTGTTAGAGGTTGAGATAGCCTGGCTAAATATATAGTAATTTTAATGGGTCGTGGAGCCTATACAGTCGACTATGGGCCGTACTAGAACTTCGAGTTTTTGAACCATTGGCAGGCCATAAATCCTCGGAGGTAAAGTAGATTTTGAGTATAGACTGTAGCACTTGCCTGCCCATAAATTTTCCTTCACGGTTCCTAAATAGTTAACAAACTCCGTTTTACTCTTCTTAATTACTGACGTCACTTTCTTGTTAACAACTACTCCATATGGACCCGTCTCAAAACGTTGTCCTGCTTCTTCCAAATATTCTGACCTATTCATTACAATCAGGGTTTTCCCCTTGTCAGCCTTTGTAAGTACAACGCTTCGATCTTCCTCCAAGGAATTTAATGCGATACGTACAGTTTGCGACAGATTTGGCTCACCCGATTGCTGAAACGATCGTATGGTGTTTTTCCGGACAGCTGGTCGACATATCTGAATTCTCGGCCGATTGCGACGAACAAAAGTACAAGAACTATAACTGTCCCCATTTTGTCTCGTCATTCAAATTCACTTCCCACTTACAGTACGATTATTCAGCAACGGATCTGAGAGATAAACGCTCAAACAGACAACGCATCTATCTTTTGATAACTCTAGTTGTACTCGCACTATCTTGCGGAAATTATCAAGCAACTGCTTTTTTATCCGACATAATTCCTTGTTCATTGTTCATAAGCGGGAAGGGGGGAAACCCACAACATAAACGCCACTGCGGTCGGTTCCTAGCTATGTCAACAAGTGTATCCAGCCAAACATGTTCATCGTCCTTCGATCCCCAACCACGGATCCGAGAGACTCCAACAGAGGAAAATTTCGATGTAAGAGCCTTCATTCCTTTCGACCAAGTCATCGCTCGGCCACCTCACCATTTCTTCCATCCACAACCATGGCGCTCAAACAACGCACGTCGCGGAAATCGGTGGGCTGGCATGCGCAACACGTGTCCTAATCATCGGATCCTGGGGCGTGAAATGAAGGTGCTGAGCGGTTCGCTTCTTCTTCTTGCGCCATCAACATGACGTGGAACGCACATTGCTCCTGCCGTGTTCCCACCAGATTGGAGTTAAACTACTAAGGCACCGGTGGTCGAACGAAACCAGCTTACTTATGTCGATTGATCTAATTGATCGGGTTTCAAACCGACCAGTAGGGTCGAACATACGGCTGCATTGTACACTCTAGGTTTCAGGAAAAAAGCGATGTCGCGCCGGAGCTACAGGTGTGGAAAGTTAGCACAATCACCTCGTGCTTTTGCTAAACGTTTTTTGAACTCGTCTTCAGTTTTAACGGCTCTGATACAACTACCTTTGTAGTTGAACTTTTGAACGGCTTCTAGCTGATCCCCAACAAGCGTCAGTGAAAAAGGCGATCCCTGAAAATATTGGAGGAAAGCTTTGCACATCAAAAGTGCAGAGCATAGCCCCAAATGGGTGACAGTTAGTGCCAATCAGTCCAGTGCCGCTTGGCACCTTTAGGAGCTGTCACAGATGAGGGCAATATCGTCAATATATTCCAAGTCAAGAAATCGTTCACCTGGGAGCAGCCCCACCCCTTCTAAGTCTTGTCCTGTGAACACGATATCTATGACTTCAACAATAACGAAGCTGAAGAGGAAAGGTGACAGCAGGCATTCTTATCTCACTCCGCTGTAGATATTTAAGGGCTGCGATATCATGCTGTAAGCTCTAACTGTCCGAGCGACGCGCGTAAATTGCTCGCGTAATAGTTGCATACTTCCCAAGAACACCTTTCCTTAGCGGTTAATCCCAACGGACACTAGATCTACTGAATCGAAGGTACCTTTGATGTCGAGGAACACGACCATGGTGGGTTTCCATTACACATGGTGGTGTTCCAACAATTGACGTAATGTGAATATGTAGTCGATACATCCCCGACTACGACGTAACCGTGCCTGCTCATTATGAATCTGGCTTTCACAATCTCTAGTCCGTCGGTGGAGGATTAGGTAGACAAGTACTTTGGAGGCGATTAGGACTAGATGGATTACTCTATGGTTGCTGAATTTCCCAACGTAAGTCTCTTTTGAAGATCGGGACAATACCGGAGCAGCTCAAGTTGCTTGAGACCGTTTCCTGTTCCCACAGTTTCAATAGTAATTTACTAAATCGTCCACAATAGCAGGGCTCCGTACGTTGAAGAGGACTGGATACAGTATATTCAATTTCAACAGTCGAAACACATTTTCGACATCTGAGCAAGAGCTCAGATTCAAAGGAACGGCCCAAGGAGCGGGGCGATCACTGGCCGGTGAGAAATCTAACAATTCCGGCCGGTTAAATTGTTTTTCAAAATGCTGAGCCCAACTCTCCAAACGCTCAGATAACTTGTGAATAGGCTGTCCAAACTTGTTACGAGTAGATACACTAACACCATGTCTCCTGTTGCCCGATTTCCATATCAGAAGGAAAAACTTCCGACGGTTACCAAGGAAAGCGGCCATTTCTACTTCTGACACACGCAAGATTCGCGGTCGCTCTCCAGGCTAACGCGGAGGGTTGCCCGGAGCTTGACCTCTGGCCGCCGTATTCGATGAAGGTTGAAATCGCCTATCAGCAGGAATTCCGGACCACTCATATGGCTGCGCACACGGGAAAAACAGTCCAAGCTGCGGCTCAGTGGACTGCGATACACAACACCCACGGGGAGTTCGCCGCGTCTCAGACGGTACGAACACCATAACCGCTCACACAAACCATCTTCGCTTTTGTAGATGCTCATGAGTCTTCCGCACAAAGAAGAGAGTATGTATACAGCACTCCACTGCGGTCATTTGATAGCCTATCACATCAGAAGCAAGCAAACCCACTGATTTCGATTTCTTGCGCGGTTATCTCCAAATATAACCAAATTTCAGCTGGGCGCAATAAGTCTGGTTGCCGAGAGGCAACGGTGACAAACGTCGTCATTTTAGCCAGACGTCAACGCGACGGCACAAATTTATTTCCGTATGTGCATGATGAACCTATACGTCAAGTTTTGAGATGAAACCTAGACGTTTCAAATGATCATGGTCGATTTCGATACATTTACTCTCTCAGGCATCTCAAATGTCGTTCTTTGCCTGTTTGCATCAATAAATGAAAAGTACTGAATTAATGAATCAATGTCGTACTGAAATATTGCAACCCAATTTCGGTAATGACGTTCTGTCAACACATCTTCTCTATACACATCCGATAATTTGTTTACTTTTGAACAGCACATTTACGTATGCAATATTAACAATGTAAACTATGTCGAAAATGTTGCTTTTCACTTCCCATGTTTGGAAGCGCAGCAAAGAAATCTACCGCTAAAATAAATCGAAGTCTTGCACAAGAAATCCTTGATACATTCTCAAGCAAAATATAGAAGGATTATGTGGATTATGTGGAAGTCGGTTGCGAAAAAATAATAATAAAATAAAACAAAAAAGCGATATTCATTTCCGCATAACCTTATATTATCATACCTGTCGTACCCAGCTAAAAGTGTATGGCCACTATCTGACTTCCAGCTAATTTCTTGAATTCCATTGGCCAACGTAACTGAACGGAGTGTGAACGGCTCTCTGGAACCACCTGTTGTGACCTGAAATATATTATGCTAGAAGTTAAACTAATTTCTGTTGTTGATCCGACTGTGTTGCTGACGTTGTAACATTGGCATGAAGACGCTTTGATCAACCAAATCCGGCACCAAACTGGTACATCCACTATTTCCTAGAAGAGAGACAAAACTGACGCCTTTCTGTAGGAAATTATAAATGAATGTGGGAAACAGGAAGCAAGTTAGCTCACGTTCATACACGCATACTGGAAATCGATCGATTTTCACGTGCTGTCCGCTTGGTTGAAATGTTGACGCAAGTTGACTTATCTAACACAGTAAGGATGCTTAGGATTAATAAGACACGCTAAGTGCAACCATGTTTTTGTAAATCTACATTTGTTTTATTCAGCTCACATTGCGAGGTGTATGACAAAATTGTCTGAATCACTATGAGATAGTTGAGCAACATACTCCTATCAGTAAGTGGAAAATTCCCATTTCATTATCAAGAACGAAAGACCGAGGGTGAACAATTGTTTTCGATGATTCATCTTCAGACCTGTACAATCATATGGTTGAAATCGCAATAGGAAAGTACAAGGGGATTAACGATCAGTTCAAATGAGATAGATCACGTGTCGATCAAAGACATGAACCAGTAACAAACAACAAACTAGGTCTGAGGTACCGTTGCACAATTGCAGTTGCTGTCCGAAGGATCCGTTTTGGCTGGCCAAGGTAGCTGAACAGCTTCGATCAGCTTCTTTTGTGCACACAAAAGAGGTTGGTACAACCGAATGCTGATCACCTCGGCAGTAGCAAGGGTCCGGAGGCGCAGGCCTTTCGACTGGAGTGGAGGGACCCTGTACAGTATTCGAAAGGCATTGACTGGGTCAACCTCATGCCCACTATCAACCAGATGAGCCATAACTGAGCTAGTTATAGCTCCAGTACCACCTCGACGCAACCAACGTGGTAGGTGCTCCTTAATGCGTTTCGAAAGTTGCCGCGCCGTTCGACCGATGTAAGTAGCGCCACAAGCGCACTTGAACTGATAAATTACCATAGAAGCGGTCAGCGTCGGTAACTTGTCTTTGTTGTAAATACGGATGAGTGGCTCCGTGGAAAAGGTACACCTAAGTTTGGCTGCTGGAAAAGTTGACTTGACAGCTGTTGAAAGGCTTCTAGTTACACGTTCAGCAGCGGCGTCTCCCTTGAAGGGTAGTCGTATGAAAAGTTCTTTTTTCTCTGCTGTCTGAACCTGTAACTGGTCGGGCTTACTTTGCATGTTCCTCAAAATGAAACGATCAGGATATCCGTTTTCGCGCAGCAAATTCTGAATGAGCGTCAACTCATTATCCAACTTGTCTTCAGAACAGATCCTGTGGGCCCTTGTGGTTAGACAGCGAATTAGGTTTCGCTTATATCTCAACGGAACGAAACTGTGAAAGTTCGTATACTGGCCACTCCAGGTTTTCTTCCTGTAGACTTGCCGTTGGATCGAGCCGTCTGCCCTTCTAGTTAACAGCACATCAAGAAACGGCAACTGATCGTTCAATTCCTTTTCGTAGGTGAACTGCAATGATCCGTGGGCCCGATTAAAGCGGTCAATAACAGCGTCAAGATCAACAGACTGGTCGGCCACGACAAATATGTCGTCCATATAGCGGTGGTAACATTCAAAGGCCGTGATCTCCTCATGTAACTTGGTATTCTCTAATTTCGCCACGAAGACATCAGCTAACAACGGACCCAATGGTGATCCCATAGCTACACCATCCTTTTGTCGGTAGTAAGTGCCATTGAATAAGAACTGTACGTTCCAAGTGCAACGCAAAAGAAGGCTTTTCAAGTCACGCAACGGTATGCATATACTTGCTTTTGTTTCTTCTATGTAGGAACAAAGATAATCGATCGTCTCGAAAAGTGGCACGTTGGTGAAAAGCGATACAACATCCAAGGAAAACATTACTTTCTTATCAATGTTGCGATCTTTGATGCTTTCGATGAAATGAAAGGTGTCACGAAGGCTGTAGCGTGTAAGTCGCTGTCTTACTGGCTCTAGAATTTCCACAAGCCATTGGGCGACGCCATGGTAGGGTGAATTAACCATTGATAAGATCGGGCGAAGCGGGACACCTGTCTTATGAATTTTTGGTAACCCATAAAGTCTCGGGACATTCGTGCCACTCGGCTTCAGGCTATCATAAAGTGTATTTGATATATGTCCATTATTCCGAAGATCTCGCAAGCTTTTAATAATTTGGTTTTCAATCCTCTCTGTCTGGTCCTTTTCTCCAATCATTCGGGAAATTTTCGATTCGTCACTCAGAACCTTTTCGAGCTTGTTTATATAGTCTTCTTTATCCAACAGAACGACTCCAGTACCCTTGTCCGGTCTGCTCAGAACGATCTTACCATTGCGTCGTAAATCCTTCAGCGCGTCAAGGTGCTTGCGTGTCAGTGGACCGTGAGTGTGGACATGGCACTTGCGATACTGGTAGCAGGTGTTCACTAAAGAACACTTAAAGCGTTCCAGGTCTTCATTTGACTTAGCTACTAGCCCTTTTGTTTGGCCAAACAGACTTTCAAACTGTAACTCATAGTGAAGCTGATTGTCTTTGTGTTTGGGAGCGCAAAACTTTGGACCAAGCGATAGAACTTCCATTAAAGTGGAGTTCAATTTCATACTTGAGAAATTGTGCACGTACCTCTCAGGTCTATTAGGGAAAGTGGATTGCGGCTTATGCTGATTCAACGTCTTTGTTAGGGCCAAATGCCTTTGTCGTACACGGTTTGCGGTGACAGACTGAACGTAATCCAGGAATGATTGTTTCATGTCCAACGCTAACTCGTCAATCACATGTTGACGTTGCGCTATATTGCGTTCGAATTCGGGAATCTTGCATTGCACCGTGTCACGCTGGTTCAAAGTATGACGTCTAAGCGTTTTGGCATTCGGGTAGATACGACTGCGGCGCAATTGCTTCCAAAATCTGCTAGGATATTCGTTGCCTTCAATGCAATCATCGAAGAATTTTACACAAGTTTTAGCCTCGGCAAGCCTAGTGGAGAACTTAAGGAACTGATTTAGTTCCCTCACCACTGAGGGCGGCTTGGACGATTTCAGTAAGTGGAAAATTCCCATTTCATTATCAAGAACGAAAGACCGAGGGTGAACAATTGTTTTCGATGATTCATCTTCAGACCTGTACAATCATATGGTTGAAATCGCAATAGGAAAGTACAAGGGGATTAACGATCAGTTCAAATGAGATAGATCACGTGTCGATCAAAGACATGAACCAGTAACAAACAACAAACTAGGTCTGAGGTACCGTTGCACAATTGCAGTTGCTGTCCGAAGGATCCGTTTTGGCTGGCCAAGGTAGCTGAACAGCTTCGATCAGCTTCTTTTGTGCACACAAAAGAGGTTGGTACAACCGAATGCTGATCGCCTCGGCAGTAGCAAGGGTCCGGAGGCGCAGGCCTTTCGACTGGAGTGGAGGGACCCTGTACAGTATTCGAAAGGCACTGACTGGGTCAACCTCATGCCCAAGTTACATGAGGAGATCACGGCCTTTGAATGTTACCACCGCTATATGGACGACATATTTGTCGTGGCCGACCAGTCTGTTGATCTTGACGCTGTTATTGACCGCTTTAATCGGGCCCACGGATCATTGCAGTTCACCTACGAAAAGGAATTGAACGATCAGTTGCCGTTTCTTGATGTGCTGTTAACTAGAAGGGCAGACGGCTCGATCCAACGGCAAGTCTACAGGAAGAAAACCTGGAGTGGCCAGTATACGAACTTTCACAGTTTCGTTCCGTTGAGATATAAGCGAAACCTAATTCGCTGTCTAACCACAAGGGCCCACAGGATCTGTTCTGAAGACAAGTTGGATAATGAGTTGACGCTCATTCAGAATTTGCTGCGCGAAAACGGATATCCTGATCGTTTCATTTTGAGGAACATGCAAAGTAAGCCCGACCAGTTACAGGTTCAGACAGCAGAGAAAAAAGAACTTTTCATACGACTACCCTTCAAGGGAGACGCCGCTGCTGAACGTGTAACTAGAAGCCTTTCAACAGCTGTCAAGTCAACTTTTCCAGCAGCCAAACTTAGGTGTACCTTTTCCACGGAGCCACTCATCCGTATTTACAACAAAGACAAGTTACCGACGCTGACCGCTTCTATGGTAATTTATCAGTTCAAGTGCGCTTGTGGCGCTACTTACATCGGTCGAACGGCGCGGCAACTTTCGAAACGCATTAAGGAGCACCTACCACGTTGGTTGCGTCGAGGTGGTACTGGAGCTATAACTAGCTCAGTTATGGCTCATCTGGTTGATAGTGGGCATGAGGTTGACCCAGTCAATGCCTTTCGAATACTGTACAGGGTCCCTCCACTCCAGTCGAAAGGCCTGCGCCTCCGGACCCTTGCTACTGCCGAGGCGATCAGCATTCGGTTGTACCAACCTCTTTTGTGTGCACAAAAGAAGCTGATCGAAGCTGTTCAGCTACCTTGGCCAGCCAAAACGGATCCTTCGGACAGCAACTGCAATTGTGCAACGGTACCTCAGACCTAGTTTGTTGTTTGTTACTGGTTCATGTCTTTGATCGACACGTGATCTATCTCATTTGAACTGATCGTTAATCCCCTTGTACTTTCCTATTGCGATTTCAACCATATGATTGTACAGGTCTGAAGATGAATCATCGAAAACAATTGTTCACCCTCGGTCTTTCGTTCTTGATACTCCTATCACGTAAAAATTTTCATCAGAGTATTTACTGGTGCACATATGTCATCATCATCATCATCATTACACGTTAGCTGGAGGTGGAATACACCTCAGCTATTGTGCCGCAATACATATGTCAGGTACCTAAATATCTGTGGCGAACGTTATGACCCAAAATCACATTGTTTTCGTTGTGAGGTACAGCAACTACATAAATTCCAATCACAGCTTTGATAATTTATGATATTTGTTTCGTTTCTAAATGACGGAACTACAGTTGTTGTTTACTTTCAGAGTAGCATAAATTTTACCGCAAATATGTGTCAAGCTATAAAAATGGCATCGGCAGAACACTGGTACGCAGTACCGACGCTTCGCTGCCGCGCAACCGTTACCAGTCGTGCTTAGACTAAGGAACCAATGAAGGTCACCCGATCCCCTACACAAGTTCTAATCCACGATATCGGATTACATGGTAGGCTTGTGATCCCTAAGGCCGCGAGTCCACCTATGATATTTGCAGACTTTAATGCCGCGATCTGGAACGCTCTGTGCTACGATGCAACCTGACCGAAAGTCAGGAACTAACGACCCACACAAAAAACGATTAGCGGCGGACTGACAATTGGTCGGCTTAAAATCAAAACAAGTTTACTTTCACCAGCACACTTCTAACAAAAAGCCACTCTCTTGTTTTGTACTAACGTACAAAACCTTCTCGGCAAACTGATAGAGCTTCGAGTAAGTCATGCTACAATATTTTGCATTTTGTCGGGAGTTTGCAACCTTTAGCGAACGTGAGTGCAAATCCCTCATCTGCGCACTGGTGGTTTTTTCACTGTGGCTCAGCGGCATTTTGTCGCACACCTTTGGATCTACACTCATTCGTGGTGCATTTAAAAGCTCCATTTTGTGACACTATTTTCTTCGAGTACACTCCATTACATACTATATTCTCCCTGAAATTTAAATTCCGGGAAGTAGTTCGCCGATATCCATGCACAAAAAGTTGCCTAACTCTAACCATCAGAGACATTGTTTGATCTCACTCGATAGAGCATTTCAACGGCTTTCGAACGAACTGTCACTCGTTCAACTCCAACCTTGCTTGGTGCAGCGGCAGGTCTCAAGGCAATCCATAGGCTTAACCAGGAAATTTCTCAACCATACCTTCGTGTAATCTGCCCCACGTTCAAGCTCACACATTCGACTGGCACGCCAGAGAGGACAGTCTGCAAGCACACAGGTGCAACGTGAATACTATTACCTTACCGACAACGTCAATAACAGCATGACTTTTTACCATAGAGGGTGAGTCATTCAAATGGTTCGTAACATTACCTCAGCAAGCGCAATGCCCGTGTGCCACAGTCTAAAGACCTATGTGGATCATGTTCCAAACTTGTTAAGGGGGACATTTTGTGTCGTAACTGTTGCAAATTCTTCCATGCGAGATGCCTCCGGGTAAAACCTAGTCACACCAAGTTACTAAACTAACCAGCCTCTCTATGGTTCTGCGTGGAATGTACATCTATCCCACTGCTAAAAAGCGTGCTCCTATTATCTCAGAAGTATGACCAGCTACCAGCAAAGTTTGAAGAAATGGTGACCACCAAAATCACTGGGGTTGGGGTAAGCATAGCGGACCGTGCAACCCAATCCTCCCCCGTAAGTGCTTCTCCTAACCCGCGAATAATTGTTAATAACACCGTAAGCAACATGACACCTAGAGTCCAGAACCTCAACATCTGTCCCCAAATCACACGTGGCTCACATTTGACTAATGTGGTTCCCAGTTCGATCAAAGTAACTACACGTAAGGCTACCTCCAAACACCCGACGGAGTGCGTAGAGAAAGAGTAAGCTGCTCCACCCGTATCTTTCCAGACGTCCCATGGGGCGAGGGTTATCGAGTCAACCGCAACTTAGAGGACTACCGGAAGAAACTTTAATCAGAACCATACTTCTTCACGGGGTTCCTGAAACTGAAGCATGTGATGAGCGTGAAATAATAACCAATGATAAAGAACAGTGGTGTGAAATTCGTGAAACAATCTGCTTGGATGATGTGTTGGCGAAATCCGTGTCACGGCTGCGTACCTCACCGAACTACAAAGGAATTTGCCCGAGAGTGTTGAAGGTGGTTCTTCAGTCAAAACATATGGTAACACGGCTGCTAAAGATCTGGTACAAGTTCAGTTGCAGGCTGCCATCTAGGCTTCGGCTGCAGACAGTCAGCGATATCCCTCCTCAAGGAACCAAAAGCAATGGAATCTATGAGAGAACAATGCACCAGTAGTGTGTCGAATGAGCCCATACAACCAGTAGAAGCTTATATTGACCATACAACTTACACTGTACGTAGAAGACTAGACACGGGACTAACTGTACGGAAGATGAATAAGACGGTAAACCCTTCACTACGTACACATCGAAAAAAACGATTAGTCGCAGGCCACTCACTGCTCTGCGAAACTTAACGTATAAGTTGCACAACCACCGAAAATTGCTTAAATCTGAGAAACTTTATTCTATGCACACCATTGCCCAAGGGCTCCTCAGTAAACTTACCGAATTTCGGCTACGTCAGTTTGCGAATGCTTGGGACCTAATTTCCATTACCGAAACTTGGTTACACCAAGAGGTGACTGATGCTGAGGTTGAGATAGCCGGAATGTCACTCATCCGGAACGACCGCCCCAGCAGAGGAGGTGGGGTCCTACTCTACTCCTACTGTTTTAATGCGTTTTCCAATGAAACCTTTACATTTAACGGACAAAAATCCAGTGGTTAACAAACACCAAACGGCGGTCTATATGTATACAGCAATGCCAGGGAAATGCGGGCCTGTGAATTTGAGCTCATGCTGGGGAACTCTTCAAATGTTTGTATAATACAAATGGTCCACATGTTTAGAAGTTACGAACACAGGTCTGCTTGTCTACGTAAACTCATGACAAAAGCAAGTCCCATAGAGAAATGTAAACCACGCAATTTGTCGTCAAGTGGGATGTTACATACAGTTAGTTTTAGACAGAGATAAGGTGAGAGGGAAGGGCGTTCCATACTTGGCACTGTTAAAGGAAGAAAATATAACGGTAGCATTTTGGAAAGATATACTGCTTCGTCAAATGCAGTTGAATACCTTTCAGTTTAATATTATGACTTCATCCAATGAACGCGGGGGAAACATGCTTTGGCTGCTTCAGGATTTAGAGAAGCGATATAAAAAGTCATTACTGGCCACTATACAATCCGAGGAGATTTGATCTATGTTCCAAATGGAGATGACATGGCTTTCTAACATTTTTAGTGCCTTTCATTACGGAGCATCAAGAGCAGTGTTTTCGTGTTTCTGCTAAGTAGGCTTCATCTGGATGTGGTATCCAACTTTGCGTTGCAAGTGGGCGACAAGCATCTGTGGAAATACCCTGCTGAAGTATCGCCTTAGGTTTTTCATCTTTCGACGTTGCCAACCACTGAATGCTTTTTCCTCCTATTGTATCGCTGCAAAAAATTAGCTGTATTTAAGAAACCAAATGGTGAAATAGTGAGTCCTTTACACATCTGTGTTGGACGAGTTTATCATCAGGCAACGTGCCACAAGCAAACTTGTTCTCTCCAACTTTCAACCAAGTGAACTCATAATTCTTATCAAAGGAACCTTTGGATGAGTTTACTAACACGCGCTGAAAAGCACTAACCCGCAGTTCATGAATTTTGCTATATGCTCTCCTTGGAGCAGCACGGATTTCGCCAAAAGCAGTCATGTACTGCTGACCTACTGAAAGCCCGTGCGTGCCGGACGGAATATGTGGATGCTGGTATAGTAGCAAACGCCGTCTTTCCGGATTTATCGAAGACATTCAACCGGCTGGATAACCCCATAATACTTGACAAGCTTTAAAATTATGGAGCCAGCAATTCCATGCTGAACTGGATAGGTAACTTTCTCCATCAAAGATATTTTAATGTGCGAGTTGGTGGCATCCTACCCGACCTCATCCAAGTCCAGTGTGGTGTACCTCAAGGCTCAATACTCGGACCAAGCCTATTCCTTGTTTCCATAGTTATCCTCACGAAGGTATTGTCCACAAATTTGCTAGTAGTTTCCAATGATATCAATATATGGTGTGATGTTCCTAAGTTGGAGGATCACACAGTCCTGCAGTGATCTGAATAAGGCATACACATGGTCCGCCAAGTGCATCCCACATTTCAACGCGGCTAAGTGCAAAGTTCTGAGCATACGCCATCAGATTACTCACAAATGTAGACTATGATCACAAATTCTACAGTGGGTTTCGCATGAATGAGAAACCGGCGTGCTCGTTCTTTTTTGGTTAAGACAAATTACAAAGAGACCAAAGAAAGTAAACTAGCACTGTGGCCTACGTCCTGAACATTCCACTTAACGGAGCTAACAACATATCGACAGACAGATTGTGCTTCTGTGACTTATGTTCAGATAGTCCGATAATTAAGATTGTTCAAACGCTTACGATATGGTGTGAAGCATTGGCTGTTACGTCGGCAGACCAAAAGGAGTTGATCGCAGTATTGGGAGGGAAAAGCTCGGAACTCGGGTTGCAGATTAGTGCATTACGTTGCCCGAATCCCACACCTGTTAAAAATCAAAAGCTCTCTAGCAACAATGCTACCCAGTGCAGCGAAAGGCAAACACCGTTAGTGAAAAACAGCATTGAAAACAGGCCCGTTGAATGGTCTCCCAAGTCTCACTTAATGCTCCAAATCATGGAGAGTTACGCACAAATTGCACGATCATCTCCATCAGTAGCTGGGCAACAACAATTAACCCCTACAGATAATGCGACTAACGGATT